ATAATATTAATTAAATTTAATAAAAAATTAAATCCCAACCTTTTATTACAAACAAAATCGCTAATTAATATTAAAAAGTAAATAAATAATAAATTAAAAAAATAAACAAATGAAAAAATTAAATTAAAGTGACTTACCGCTATAATTACTAATTGCTAATTTCACAATTTCTAACCAATCCTGAAATATAGAAATTTAAAAATTAATAATTCTAATTTACATACATTTTGACACTTCCCTTTTCATTTCACCTTACCACCTTACCATTCCATTGCCTTTCAATGCTTCCCACTTATCCTATTACCTTCACCACCTCCACTGTTCCTCACTGCCTCTCACTGCTCCAATTCCCTTACCTCACTACTCACTTAATTAGATACGAACCTTAAAATAAATTAAAAATATATTAACAAACAGCAAAAAAGAGAAAATAAAAAAAATATTAAAAAAAAATATTTACTTACCGCAGCTGAAGTTGGTAAACTTGCTTTCTTCAGTTCTAAAGAAAAAAGTTTACAATGGTATATCGGCAAAAAAAGATTATCAATTTATTAATTGATAGGCCCTATTCAATTTTTGCAGTATTATATTTATATAGTACTAACATCTTAATATAATAAGGCTTGAAGACATAGTAATTTATTTTTAAATTTTTACCTAATGATAAATTTTCTGGTCTTGTAATTTGCGTAAAACATTCGTATTTTAAAATATTTTATGCAAAATTTTATATCGCATGTACTGTAAACAAAGAAAATTAGTCAAAAATGTCAATTATCAAAATATAAAATATCTAATTTGATCATATCCAATAATAAAAATGACTAAACCAGAAAACTAAAGAAAAATTTATTTCAGATATAATGAATATCAAAACAATTATACAAAGACGAAATAATCTTCTTAATTTCTAAAATAGTATTTTGACCTTTAAATTGTCTTATACTTGATGATAGAATTTCACCTTCCTGGTTGAGTTCTTCTATGGCCATCTTATAGTCCAGTTCTTAATCTGATTGAAAATGTTTGGGCTATTTTAAAAAGAAAAGTTGAGATAAAGATTAAGAAAATGGTGGCGTAGAAAAAAAAAATATCAATTGAAATTTTTTATAATATAATTTAAGAAGAATAGGATGATTTTGATGATGATATAATAGTTAACTGCATCAATAGTATGCCAAATCAAATTATAGTATGCATTGATGCAGAAGGAGCGCATACTAAAACTAATTAATTAATAAAAGTTGCAATTATGATATTCATATTTTATTTAAAAAAATTTTAATTAGATTTATTAATAAATCGCATATGTTAAGTTATAAAAATTGACTGCCATTACTTTTGGCGGGAACTGTACTTTTTTAATATATTATTCATTTATATTTTGTATTATGATTATATATTAGATATAGATAAAGAAAATAAATATTATACTTATTACTTTTTTGTTAATAATACTATATTATTTATATCATATAAATGTTAGTGTTAGATGATTTTACTTTATATAGTATTAGTTATGAATATTTTCAAAAAGGAAGAAATAAGTATAAATTTGATTAGCTTCATATAAGAACTATTAAAGCTATTTTAATATCAATATTAATATCAATATTAATATCATTATCAATATTAATAAAAATAACAATTATTTATATATAATTTTTTAAAAAAAAAATTGGGAAAAAAAATTACATGAATAATTAAAAAAAGTTTTTTTATAATTTTTATTATATAATTATATAAAAAAAAAAAATAAAAAAATAATGATTATAATTACTAATATTAAAATTAATGATAAAATTAAAGAATTTGTCAAAAATTTATATTGCATTAATAAAAATAGATAATTCTAGCCAAAAGGATAAACAGATCTAGCTTAAAAAAATAATAGTAAGAATAGAATTTCAAATGAGTCAAGTTAACTCACGAGTCAAATAAGCTGAATCAAGTTTAAATCAAGTTGAATTTATATTTTTTTGACTCGATAATTTATAAATTGAGTCAAATTTGAGTTGAGTTAAATATTTAACTCGACTTGATTTAAACTTGACTTAAACTTAACTTGACTCAAGTTGACTTAAAACAGTATTTATATTTTTAAACTATAAAAATTATACATTATAATAATTGAAATACTTTATAATAGTTGAAATATATTATAATAGTTGAAAATTTAAATTTATTTTATTAATTTAAATTATTAATTTTAAATTTCATTATAAAATGATTTTCTTTAAATAATAAACTATTAAAAATCTATTTTTTAGAACATTTAAATTAAAATGTTCTAAAAGAGCAGATCTTAATAAAATGATATATTCATATTTAACCTCTATTACAATACCTAAAGATGGTCCCCATAATTATTTTCAAATTTTAATTGAGTTGTAACTTAATTGCGCTATAAGGAAATTTAATTGCGTTATAAGTTGCAACTTAATTGCGCCATTTTTTTAATTGTGATAACCATCTTTAACAATACCTATTTCATTCAAAACCAAATCTTCAACTTTAAAATCCTAAAAATTACTATTATATAAAATGCATATTTACAATTATTGTTGTCTTTATATGCCTTGTCTTATAATACTTATTGATAAGATATTTTTTAATATTATCATTATATTTTGAAATTAAATTTTATAATCCTTTTATATTATTTTTAACATTTAAAGAAATTGCAAAACTAATATCTAATTCTTTAATTTTTTATTCATATTTTTTTATTATTTTTTGATCATTTGAGTAGATTACTAGGAAAATTAAGTTCTGGGAATTTTTTAGCAAAATTGAGATTTTTATTACATTTTAGTTTTTAATATAATTAGATTAAAATGTAATAAACTCTTAATTTTAGTCAAAATTTCTCAGAACCTGATTTTTCTAGAAACACTCCCATTTTTATTTATAATAACAGATGTTAAAGTAGAAATAGATGCAAAGGTAAAAGTAGAGTTTGAGATAAAGGTAGATATAAAGGTATAGGTAGAAGTAGAGGCAAATATAGAAGTAAAGGTAAAGATAAAAATTGAAGTAAAAAGCTCACTTAAATTATCATTATTACATGATGATATTATTTTCATTTATTTATTAAGTAAAGGATCTGTTAAAAGGTATAAATGATTTGAAATTACTCTTGTTTTTTAAAAGTTAAAGAAGATTTATTTTTTTTTAATTCCAATTAATTAAGTAATCATAATATTGGATTTTCTAAAAAAAAAAATTATTTTAATAAAAAAAAAAATACAAATTTATAGCTTTATCTTACTATAAATTGTATTAAAAAAAAAAAATAAATAAATATAAAATTCAGCTTTATCTCACTGAAAATTACATCTATTTATATAAAAAAGAGCTTACATAAGAGAAATAATCTGACCCCAAAACAATATAAAGATTATTCTTATACTTTAAACTCTATTCAAATAAATTATGAATTAAAAGTCTTTAAATAAAATTTTTTGAAAAAATTGATTTTACAATTTTAGTATAACAATTTATAAATATTCTTATTAAGCTGATATCATGATAATCCAAAATTCTAAAAAAAAATAATTAGTAATTTCTAAATGCCTTTACTGAACTAATATCGTAGTAGCCTGAAATTCTAAAAAAAGAATAATTAGTCATCTAAAAAACGGTATAAATTAATTATTGATCTGATATTATATAAACAAATCTTACTTTTAAGGATGAACAAACCAGTTTATCTTAAATTGATTGATTAATTGATTGATTTATTTTCTTTTTTTTTTCTTTTTTTCCTTTTAATCCATTTTTTTATTATTCCCTTTTCTCTCATCGATTAGTTCTTTTTTTTATATTTTGATTATATTTTTAATTTCCTCACCTCCAGTTCTTTTATTAAATATTTTTTTTAATAATTTTTCCAACTACCCCCTTCAGTTATTACTTTTTTTTATATTTATTTTTTATTTTTTTTTTTAATTTTTTTAATTTTTATTTTTTTTTCTTTTATAATAATTTCATTCATTTTTTATATTTTTTTTTTTATATTTATTTTTTTCTTTCTTTTTCTTTTTTTAGTTTCTTCTAACCTTTTTTTCTTTTTTAATTTTTTAATTTTTTTTTATTTATTTTTTTTTTATAAAGCTTAAGAGAGAAAAAAGAAAATTTCTTTACTTAGTGAGATTTGAGAAGCGGTAGAAAATAAAAGTTATGCTAAGTGCAGAAAACTTTAGCATAAAGGTAAACATATAGATGGTAAAAACTATTGTTTAGCACTAGTCGAAATAGTCTACTTCGGCTAAATTTTGGCTGGCCAATTTTAAACTGAATTATGTACTAATGCCGATCAAAATCTTGGACACGATTCACTGCCATTCAGATGTAAATTTCGGTCAAACTTCAGTTATATTTCGTGACAAACTATTGATTAACATTTAAACAATTATATTAGTATTCGTTATATCGAATTATGTAGCTTTATTTAACATATAACATTTATAAAATAACAATTTATTTATTTATATTTAATTATAGTAATATTGTATTTTGTAAATAAAAGTATACAATAATATTACAATAACGAATATTTGCCCTAAAATTCTTAAATAAAATAAGAAATAAAATGAATGGATCAATAAACGAAAAGTAAACGAAAGTAAATGAATAAATGTATCAGTTCTTACTTAGTCTTGAATTTCAAAATATTCGTCATCATTTTTTTCTTCATCATGCGCAGGAATAATAGGTGTTCAATCACCTTAAAGACAATAAATATTAGCATATTAATTACAAAATAAGTTTTAAACGTAATTTGATATATTTACCTTCAATATCAGTATCATAAACTGAGTCTTCTTGCTTCACATAGCACCACTCAGATGCGCTTACCGGATGTGGAAGATCATAGCACTGATTTTTGTCGTCGTAATAGCAGGCTCTTACTAATTGAATGGTTTGTAACGTTAATGCGTGTAGATCGAGCACATTACGGAGAAGTTGCTTTAACTAAAATAAAGTAATAAATAATAATGTAAGTATCAAATATATACAAAAAAAAACAAATATCAGATATAGAACCTTGTCCAATCTCCAGAAAAGGTCGTATATGCAGATATTACACATTGTATCATTCTCCTCGTCAGTTTCACTTAATTCTGGTGAGTGAACTTTTTTATTCGCCAATAATGTAATCAATTCCATCCTGTCATAATCAATAACTTCTTGGTGTTTGATTGTATAGAGGGATTTTGCTCCCTTTATTCGGCGAGCCATTTTCTAAATTGTTTATTGTAAATATGAAAGTTAGTTATATACAATAAATATATAAAATTTAAGCAATAAATCATATCTCACTTAAACGACCATTGGCATGTAAGCGTCAATTATCACTGTCGATTCATCCCTTATTTCTATAGTTGTTTCAGCTTCTTTGGGATCTATGTAATTATTGTAACCAATTGCTAATTTGGTCTGACGAAGCATGATGTTTCAGCTTTAACAACTTTACTAATTCAGAAATTAGTTTTCTTTGAATTTCAACATTCGCTGGGCTATTGAACGTTTCTTCGTAATTCATATCGAGTTTGGGTGGAAGAACTTTAATATAGTTTTCATTCCCGCCTAAATTATTTACAAAAAAAGCAAGAAAAAATGGAAATTCGATGAGTATCGACAACACCATAAAATATATAATCGTCTAAGAAAATTAGACAAACCCTGGCATATTTTTCGCCTATTTTTTTATCTCTCTCATCGTATGAACTTCTTTCAGCTTCGGAACTTTCATTCAAACTATTTTCTGGACTGCTCAAACTGTTCTCGTATCGCATGCCTTTCGATTTCTTAGAGTGTTTACCTTCTGAAATACTTTTATATCACTTACCTTTCGGCCTGGTGTAATGTCTTTCCGAATCGCTCTTTACCTTTCGTTTAGATTTTTTAGCTTGTTTTGATTTATGCTTATTTGTTCGAATTTCATCATCTGATGATCGATTTAGGATTTTCGGTAATTCAAACAATTAATACTCTTTAAGGTCTGCTTGAAGTTGATCGTTTTCGCGGCTGAACTCTTGATTGATTTTCATTAATAGTTTGTTACTTTCTTGTAAACTTTTATACTTTGAGGAAATTATTTGGAATTTATCATTAAGCTCATCTATTTGACGTCGAAGCTCGTCATTCTGAGCCTTTAATTTCTTATTTTCAGCTTTAAAGTCTAAAAATGATCGTAAATGTAGTAAT